CCTCCGTCTCTCATTCTCTGTGTCTCTATCTCTTTCTGCATGTCTCCCTGTTTTTGTCTCTGTGTGTGTCTCTCTCTGTCTCAATCGCTTTATTTTGCCATCTTTCTGTTTCTATCTCTCTGCTTCCTTTCCTGTCTCTCTGCCTTAGCCATACCTGCCCCCCTCCACCACTCACCCCATCTCTCTCGGGCCATCCCTGTCCCACTCCCTGGCCTGGCATGCAGCCTGGGACACAAATCCCTGAATCAGCCTTTTCCTCCTATTCCAGAAATTGTGTCAGCACCGCAGTGGGGGTGGGGCTGGTTGTAGCTCTGGTTAGAGGGTTTGTCTCCCTGTGTCTTCATCCACAGAGGCCCAGGCCAGCTTGGTTTACCTCTGTTCTCAGTGTTTGTTCTCCCAGGGGAGCACCAGGAGGAGAGGTGAACCTGTGTTTATACGCACTGTGCATGTCTCTGGGTGTGTGTCTGCATTTGTTTCCAGGCACATTTGTGTGTGAATCTATAGCTATTTTGCAAACTCATCCATTCATTCATGCCCCCTTCCATCCATCCATCCAACCACTCGTCATCCATCCTTCCTTCCTTCCATCCATCCATCCACTCATCTACCCATTCAGCCACCCATTATCCATCCATCCATTCATCCACTCATTCAACCATCCACCCACTTATCCATCCATCCGTCCTTCCAAGCATCCACTGATCCATCCTTCCATCGATTTATCCTTCCAACTCATACATACATACATACAATTCTCTATTTACCCATCCACTAGATCATTCATTTACTCAACCCACCAATATTTATTGTCTACTGTGTGCCAGGCACCATGTCAGGCAGTGGAGACACAGCAGTAAACCAAACAAAGCACTACCCCCATGGAGCTTATGTGCCCAGCGGTGTTTCTGAATGTGCCAAACTTCCTCCAACCCCAGGCCTTGCACCAACTGTTTCCTCTCCCTGGAGCAGTCCCCTCCCCTCCCCCATCATCACCTGGCTCATGCCAACTCACCCTTCTGAGCTCAGCTCCAAAGTTACTTGCTCAGAGAAGCCTTACATGACCTTCTTCTTAGACACACAGCACCCTGGACTTTCCTTCCTAGCACTGATCCTCATATGCAGTTATCTGACGACCATCTGTCTCCTCCACTAAACCATGTGACCTCCCAAGGCTGGGATTTTTGTCTGCTTTGTTCCAGGCAAATCCTTGGTGCCCAAAACAGTGCCTGGCACTCAGTAGATGCTCAGTAAGTATCTACCAGTGGCTGCATGGATTGAATTGAATGAATGCCTCTCTTTCTCTTCTGGTTCCCTGTCAAGTGCTCTGCACTCTTCTACATCCCCAGTGGTGATGACAGGAAAGACCCTCAAACTTTCCAGATGCAAACAATGTAGTGGCTGTACACAGGGAGTCTAGATTCAGACCACATGGCTTTGAATCTCAACTCTGACATTTCCCAGCTGTGTGACCTGGGGCAGGGCACGTCCCCTCTCTGAGCCTCAGTTACCCTCACTTTTAAAATGCAGTTAAAGAGTACCTGAGCAAATCCATGTAATTACTAATTACGACAACACTAAACATTAACCACTTACTCTAAGCACCTCTCTTGAATTTAATTTTATCCTCAAAATAACATTGAAGTGGAATCTGTTTTTGTTTTTTATTTTTTAATGGAGGTGCTGGGGATCAAACCCAGGACCTCATGGGCACTAGGCATGCGCTCTACCACTGAGATATACCTGCCCCAGAACCTGTTTTTTTTAAATTAGCCTCATTTGCAAATGGGGAAATTGAGGCATAAGAACGCAAGTCATCTGTCCAAGGCCACAAATGATGAAAGAGCAAAGCTAGGATTTGGACTAGGGGACCTCACACCCAAAGTCACACACACGGCTGCCCCTTGATGCCTGGGTGCCTCTTTGGGAACGTGTCATGGGATTCTGGCAAACCCATCCATATATACATCTTTGAGTGTGTGTATTTCTGCAGACTCCATCTGTGTGTCTCTCTCTATGGAATAGAGCTGCCTGTGGACCCTGCGGTGGGCATGGGGGGAGGTCTGGCTGTAAGAGTGGTATTTGGGGTGCCAGCACCTGCATACACATATCTGTGGGTTTGCCCCACCCCCACCCCCACCCCGTGCAGGCTTCCCTGGGTGCAAATGTAGGTCTATCTGGGAGAATGCAAGAAGCACAGAGGATAGGATTCAGAGTGAACCTGGGAGGTATTTCCGAGAGATTCAACATGACTGCAAAATATATACATAGGCAGCAACTGGGGAGATCATCTAATTAAAGGGAGGGCCTAGGGAACTCATCTTAAAGTTTGCAGAAGCAGCAGCAATTTTTTACTTAGATATTATATTTTATGGGTGTCACTGGGAGGCAGGGGGCAGCACTGAGGAAGATTGGGGGACCTCCAAGCCATCTCTGAAAGCTGCCACTGAGGCTACGGAGCTCTGGATCTTCTTCAAGGGATTTGACCTTTGCTGGCCTCAGTCGTCTCCTCCGTGAAATGGGAATAACATAATTGCACCCACCTCATAGGGCCAAAGTGAAGATTAAATGAGAGAATGCTTTCAAAGCACTTGGCGCGGTGTCCGGATCACAGTGGCAATTATCATTAACCGCTGTTAATATACCACTAGAGGTGTACATGCTGCTTTAAAAAAATATTAAGCACCTACTTGGTGCCAATGTTCCGTCTATAGTGACTGTTTTTTCAAACCTCTGGGTCCCTTAGGAAACAAGTTTATTGTCTGGATTTTGTTGATGAGGAAACTGGAACTCAGAGCAAAAGAGCGAGAGGTCACAAAGGCAGAAGCCGGTCCAGGAAGGATTCAAATTCAGGCCCTTGCTTCTATCTCCACACGGGGCTGACACTCGAGACCGCTAATTCTGAGGCTCTGCCTCCCTTCCCATCATCAGCCCTCAGAGGTCCTCAGAGAGGACTTGAAGTCCTGGGTCCTGCGGAGAAAGGGGCTAGGGGGCCGAGACTCCTGGGGGAGGAGGGAGCAGGAGGGATGGATTCCTGGATCTAAGAATGAAGGAGTTGGAATGTCAGTACCCTGGGTCCTCGGGGAAGAGGTGATTGGGATGCTGGACTTCTGGGTCTGAGAGATGAGTGAGTGGGGGCCGGGACCCCTGGATCCTGGGGGAGCAGAGGGTCATGATCTCAGATCTCGGCGTCCTTGACTGTGGAAGTGAGCTGGGTCTCTAACGCTGGGTCCCAGGAAACCTTCCTCTTTCCTCGCTGCAGCCGCGCGATTTCGGCTTTCAAGCCGCAGGTTCGGAGGGGAAGAAGGAGGG